ACTAGTCACCAGAACAAGTCTTGAAGCCCTTGATAGGTGCAGATTTGTGTGAGGATGAATCAGGTAGAGAAATCATGCACAGGTGATTCCTCATCTGCCCCAATGAAACAAAAAAAGCAGCAACAGCCCTGAGAAGGGCCAGTGAGAACATCCTCCAAAAATTCCCAGCTTGCCATGCTATCCCTGTCATGGATTACACCTCAGTGCTGCTCAGCACCAGCATCATTCAATTAACAACAATTTCTGCTCAGTGACACCACAGAGGCTCTCCTAGAAAAATCTCTACTGGTATTGTTTCAGTTTTGCCGCCAACACTCTCTGCAGCAAAATGCAGCTCAGGGACAGATGGAAAGACTTGGAATAAACCAACAGGGGTTTCATTGAAGCAGGGCCCAGTAAGCATAGGCAAAAGAGATGTTTCAGACGTGGCTGCATGCTCTGGTTAAGCAGCATTTCGTGCACACCCATGTCAGCAGACTGACTGTTTTTTAAACTAAAGGCACAAACCATTTCCTCTGCAAGGCCTAAGGACTTATCTCTCTGCACCTGCTCCAGACACACTTATTTGCTAAATGTAAATTACGTTTCAGCCTGACTCATTCGGAGAAGGAAACAAGAGCACCTCGTCACTCAGAGGAGGGGGAGACGCCCAGAGGTCGAGATTTACACAGAAAAATGATGTTAAAAGTGAAACAATTTGCCTGCCCGGAGAGTTTTTCCATGACCTTGAGCTTACACTGAGCCAGGGTGGGCACAGGGCAGAGGAAGCTGAGTTATACAGCCTGTCAGAGACTGAAACTACAATCGGCTATTAACAAAAGCACCAAGTGCTTTGCTGATGCTAAGTTTACACTCCCCAATCAACGGGGAGGAGGAGAGATTTTAGGTGCATGGTGGCAAAACCTCTCATCTGTGTAAGAACAGCCCAAATGCAACAATCCAATCTCCTCGCTGGATCAAGGGGTGGTGAAATCCTTCCACTCCACTATCTACTCTTACCCTTTCTTTTCCTTAAGTATTTCTTAAGTGTTATTTTTATATTTTTATCTTGCTATATACCTATAGATAATAACCAAAATGGCTACATTTCTCCTTTCCATTGCCACCAAACTGTTCTAAAATAAACCTGAAATATATAAAAACACTAGTCATTCAGCATCGTTTCACAGTAAGCCTCCCCAAGGGATACATTAACAAGAACCTCAGTTACCGCCTCTGGGGTGGGTCCTAACAACGTCCTGGCTGCCCTGCCCTTGCCAACACCAAACAGGGAGGTCAGGGCACCTGTGTGACAGGTGTCACGCACAGGGAGTGGAGGAAGGTCGTCAGGCAGGTGACAGGTTCCCTGTGTGACAGGTGGGACGCAGGGGGAGGAAGATGAATGGGCAAGTGACAAGTTCCAGCATCCCTCCCAGCAGGGGAGTGGCCCTGAGCACCAACAGGCTTTGCCTTGCTCCTGCCCAGAACTACATGGGGTCTCTGCCCCACCCCAGGCCCCCACACTTGGACCCTTCTCAATTCCAGCTCCAGGCACCTTCACCCCACTCCAGCCCCAGGACCCTGCACCCCACATGGGGACCCTGTCCCATTCTAGGCTCACGTCCCAACACAGGGAACCTGTCCCAGTCCAGCCCCAGGTCTCCACACAGGGACTTTTTTCCACTCAAGGCCCAGGTACCTTCACCAGGCTTCTCCCCCCCTCCAGCCCCTGGTCCCTGCTCCCCACACGTGGCCTCTGACTGACTCCAAGCCCAGTCACCTTCACCCTCCTCTGGGCTTCTGTCCCACT